GAGAGAGAGAGAGAGAGAGAGAGAGAGAGAGAGAGAGAGAGAGATTCTATTTTATTTTCTCTATTTTAGTTAGCTTTTTTTAGCAGCATGTACTTTAAACCACAAATTCTAGGTAATAGCAGGAACATATATTATATTTTGCCATAATTAAATGCTATGACATATTCATTAACATTTTAAAAGCTAGGATCAGCACAGGCACACATATGCACATGTGTTATATTTGATCACACATATTCTAATGCATATGATTTGGGGCTTTGGAAATTCTGTTTCCAAATTTGTCTTTTTGTTTGACTTTTTAGCACAAAAGGTAAAAATAAGAGAGTCATAACATAAGATTTTCTTCTGAATAATTTGGAATTTTCTTTTTTAATTGCTAAAGAATGGATACTTTATAAAGTGTGGTATTTATTATTGCATTGCTGAGTTATTTTTAGCATCATTTATCTTTTAGGTTTCTAAGACACAGAGCCATCAACTACCCAAAGAAAGACCACATGGCCCTTCTTGTGGCCTTATGTGTTACTAGGTTTTTATTAGCAAATAGATTAAAAATTAAAAAATGATTACTAAGGACTCATTAGGCACTTCTAGGGTTGCCCAAAAATATTCACAGAAAGTTACCACATGCAATAATGAAGTGTTAAAGGTACAACAGAGGATTAGAATCCAAACTTTATGGGAGCACATTAGAATAGTTTCAAGTCTGTGAAGTGTCCTGTGAGTCTCTGCACTAGTTAATACTTCTTGGAAGAACTTCCCAGAAGATAACAAGATTATTGAAGGAAAAGACTCCCAATTTTTTTTTCAAGCAAGTGTCCTGACAAGGATAAAGGCTGTGGTGTGAAGAGATATGGTAAAATAAGGCTGAAAACAGGAAGAGAGAAGTGTATTCCCAAGGAATCCATCATTACTCCCTGGTCGTGGCTTGTCTAGGCAAGGAGAACTGTCAGCACTAAGGCCAAGGCAGTAGGCAATGAATTTACCTTGGCTCAGACTATCCCAAAATGAGATCTAATGGCAGAAAAACAGATCAGAGGTAATTACAGAAGAGTCAAAAAAAAAAATGAAAGCTGTGGTTTAAATAAAGGCAAGAAATAGTCATGCCCTACTTATGGAGCTGTAGCTTAAGCCAGTCACCATTTTCAAACCTTATTTTCAAATGCTCCAATGGGATAGTAAAACCATAGGCTAGCGAAGGACACAGAGTATTAAGTACTAGCCACGTGTATCAGAGTAGTGTGTAGTAACTTGTAAAACAAATACTTATCATTAACACTAGAATTTTAGTGGGGGATAGAAAAGGCCTGAGTGTTAAGGTGGAGAACTAGATAAGTTTAGCCAGTAACTGTTTAGTTTAGTTTGTTAGTTAGAAATGACACTCTAGACCAGCGTGACAGCTGTGGCAAAGGTAATTCTTGAATACTCGGAAGAAAAAGCCTGTGGTGGTGCCTGGTTTCAGTGATATTTCTTGCTCTGCTCTTTCCTCATTTTCCAGAAGAATCCCACAGGCTGAAAGGTTTACATTTACACCCTGTCCTGCTTCACATAAATGCACAACCTGCTCTTGCTGCCCTCCATCCTGGTCAGGGCTGTCGGGAGGCTATGACGGCCTCCTGGTCTCTCCGAGGCCACTGATGTTATTGTGCAGCCCTCTGCTGTGTTTTGTCTGCTTTCTTGTCGGAGCTCCTACTGCATGCAGGGGAGTCACTGTCACATTGTCACAGTGCTGCTCGTGCTGAATCGCTCTTCCACTATCTGGGACTTTGTTACATGGCTTAGCATGCTTCCCCACCACAACATTCCCAGTGATTTTCCAAGGAATAGGTGTTCACTGTCCCCCAGTGACAAATGATAAGATTTGAATATCTGAACTTCATACATAAGGAAATCTCTACTCTATGCGTTCACATGCTTTATCTCCCTGTAGAGGACTGGGGAGGTTGCATGACTGGGTCTTGGATTCTGTGTGTTCCTTGTCCAGGTCCAGTGACTCCCCATTTGGGACAGGATGATCTGCTCACCTACTACTGGTAGGGGGAAAATTTATGACATCACCTTAGTTTTGTCCTTTGGTTCTTTTCTTACTTATTGTTTTTGATTTATATGATGATCTCCATGTAGATTTTATACATAGGCATTTATAGTACCCCGTTTTTACACTGGTCCTATTTAATCGTCAGAGAGAAGCAGCCATATTTCCATCCAACAATTTCTCTTAATTGTTTGCAGCATCATTTGGCCTGGGGAGCCTGTGACCCTTTCTCTTGTTTCTCTTTTCCTCTTGCCTTTTTTTCTCTCCTTTTCCCCCTTCCTTCCTTCCTTCCTTCCTTCCTTCCTTCCTTCCTTCCTTCCTTCCTTCCTTCCTTCCTCCCTCCCTCCCTCCCTCCCTCCCTCCCTTCCTTCCTTCCTTCCTCTCCCTTTTCTTTCATAGTGTTTTATTTTGAAACAGGGTCTTCTTTTTTAGCCCAGACTGGTCTGAAGTTGCTGCGTAGCTGAGGATGACTGTGGAGCCCTGATATTCTTGCATTAGTGTCTCAAATTCTAAGATTAGAGTTATGCACCAGTATGCCTACATATATCTCTCTGTAGAAGAGCTGAAGTGTTTGTGTGTTCCCTCTTCTTTCATTTCTAGGAACACAGCATGATAACTCTTTTCCTTCTGCTCTGTTAGATACTCTAGGAACTGTGAAGCCTGCAGGAAACCCTGATCAGAAGTGGGTGATGGTCTCTGCGCTCACAAGTGACCTCCAACCAGGAGACATATTTCAGTGAGCTCATAAAAGTGTGTTCACTGCTGTTCTTGGGTGATCACTGCCTTTCCTTAACACTGGCAGCAAAAACAAAAAGGTCTAGAAACATTGCCCTTTATTGTGGCCAAGGACTCCTAACTGTGAACTATCTGGGTTGAGATATCAACTGCCCTACTGTCTCTTTATAAAAAATGTGTGGAGACTCAGTCCAAGAAAAAAGAAAATGACTGGCACACAGTTTCTCTGACTTTATCATTGAACAAGGAATGTGGCAAGAGGAAGCAGTTCAATTGATAGCACATTATACCATTGCACCACAAGATATGTAAGTGTGGCTGCAGAGTCAGGATGACTAGAATTAACTAATTCACTTTGATACAGTAATTAACAGTTTGGGGTATTTAATAAGACACAATAATTAGAATGTTATGTTATAGAGACAGCTGAGGCCTTGCACCTGTTTCTTTAGGAACCCCACCTTCTGGTTAACCGGGGAAAGATTAGCATGATAAAACTGCATGGAGGTGAACTGATTTGCTCATTCCAAACTAGAACACTGTGATGGAGTTACCTTACACTTTTGGAAAGTTTTCAGGATTCCGTTTTAGACAGTCCATCTAGAGTCTGAGTAATTCACTCTGAGGTATGTATCTTCATGTGTATGCAACTTTAAAACATGATTTCATAGAAAAATACTACCATCTTGCTTTAGAGAAACATGGTCCCATTTCTTCCTGTTTTCAGTATAATTCCTAGATTTCCATGTTCATCTAAGCATGAAGAACTATTGTTCACCAAACATTCACTTGCTTTGATGAGAAGAAATCAGTAGAACAGAACACATAAAATGTTTTCACATGAAATACTCATATAAAAACCACCAGTGAAGCTGTATGAATTGGACACCATTTGATCTGTACTATAATATGGACTGTAACTCTGGAGCTATAATAAATTATATTAGCTCAAATAATTGCAGGAGATATTTACCCAGTAGTTTTAAAAACATTTGCCTGATTAATTCTGAGAATAATAAATAGTTATCTGTGGTCATCAGGAAGCATATTTTTTTTTATATACTTGATTTTATCCACATCACTAGCAAAAAAAAGCTTGATGAGAATTCTCTGCTTTACATATGAAGTCATTTCTACTTAACAGTTCCCTCGCAGCCATAAAAGATTCAAGAGAAAAGAGAGAAAAAGGAAAAGGAGACCAGTTTATGGCCAAATCATATGGGACAAAGTTGTCCAAAATATTGTCACAGTTTTTGTTCTGACAACACGTTCCATTCTTGCATCTCGTCAGGCCTCCCTGACTCATTGACAGACTGTTATATTCAGAATAGCCGCTGCAAACTTTCAGCACTCAGAAATGCTCGGGAGACATATAAAAATGTCTTTATTTAGAATGGACCATATAATACCTGCCAAATTTGTAGGTTTGAAAACACTTTCAGTAAGAATTAAAAGGCCTTCTTCCTTGTTGAAATAGGACTATCAATAGTTGACTTGTCTGCTTGTGAGAAATAGTGGGTTCTTGTCTCTGATGTTGCAATTTAGTTTAAAATCACTTTGTGATGACAGGGTACATAAAGACGACAAAACACTAAAGATGACAGTCTAATTTTCAAAGATGACCGATCATCGATAAAAGATTAAATAACGTAAACATTTGAAATGCCAGATTATCAGGTGGTTGGCACACTTTCAGTATTTCAGATGCAGAGACGCTACTGAGGAGACAGAATGATACATCTGTCATCCTTATTTTATACTATGCAAAAACCTATCCTTCCCCAAGAAAATAAATGAATGGTAATTGCTTTTCACTTATAAGTTATGTATTTTTCTCCATCTTAGTTCAATATGTTAAATGGTACCAAATGACAGATACAAATGTTCGTAATCAGTTTTTACAAAGCAGAATGTCTAGTTTGGGAAATTTCTTCTCAACCATAGCTAACCCTTAAGTTTTAAAAGCAGTTTTTATATACATACAAGAATGATTAGACATGCTGGGCCTATGAAGCTCCAAATGAAGTTGTTTTCAGTGCTCAGCCAACATCTGAAAAGTGAGAGATAAAATCAGTAAATACATTGCCTAGACTATAGCAAAACAACGTTCTCAAATATATGCAGAGTATCCAGTGGTGTCCTTCAAATGCTCACAAAGTCCGTTTTACTTACACTTTGGTGGTACCATAATACTTATATCCTAAGGATGCTGAGAATCCAACAACTACAGCTGGGCTGAGATAGCCAAAGATATAAAAGTTCTTGTGCAAAAACCCTTTGTTGTAGATGATTCCCACAACGATGAGATACAGGTGTATGCCTTCAATGCACATCCAGGCAAAGGCAGCTAAGAAGAAGTAGTGAAGCAGGCCAGCAGTAATAGAGCAGACCAACTACAATGCAAAAGAAAGAAGAAACGATAAGTAAAATTTTCTGTAGCATGAATCTTAACTGGTCTTATTAATAAAATCAAACCTGAGGCCAGTTATTGGGGTGAATGTTGGAAGATCAGAGAAGAAGAACAAGCCACAGCTACCTCACCTTGCCAGATCCTCAGCTGCCTAAAAGCTTAACCTGCCAAATGTTTCTAGTTTCTGGTCTTCATGCCTTATATATCTTTCTGCTTTCTGCCATCACTCCCTGGGAATAAAGGCTCACTTTCTGGGGTTAAAGGCATGAGTCACCATGCCTGGCTGTTTCCAATGTGGCCTTGAACTCCCAGAGATCCAGACAGATTTCTGCCTCTAGAATGCTAGGATTAAAGGCGTGTGCTGCCACTGCCTATCCTCTATGTTTAATATTGTGGCTGTTCTGTTCTGTGACCCCAGATAAGTTTATTAGGGTGCACAATATTTTGGGGAACACAATACCACCACAATTTTCTTTAAAATTATCATATCCCTCAAATTTCTTCATGAATGTCACTTTATATCATGGCTAATCACACTAAAATACTCATGTCTCAAAAGTTTTGTTTTTAAGATGTGCTACTTTGTAGTTGATTTAAAAGAACTACACTCCATCCACGGAAGTGTTAATGGACCCTGCGATAAAATTACACTATTGTCTAGTCCAGAGATTTGTCATTTTTATGCATTGATCTTCTAGCATAAATTGGGAACTCTTCAGACCTATACTATTTGTTTCTCAGTGGCTGTATGATGGTTTAAATTGACTACTGTCTGGACATAATTCTCCTTTCCATATTGATAAAGTCCAAAGAATATAAATTATTGTTAAACCATACAAAAGAAAGGGAGCATCTTGATTAAGCACAATACTTCAGATGTACAAATAGTACATTTTACCAGAATACCCATTGTAGAATTGCTTCTAGTTGTAAGATTACTACATACATTTGAAATATATTTTAGTTAAACATTTTTCACGAGTATTTACTTATTATTACTGGAATTAGATTTAAATTTACTTTTAAAAGAATGTGTGTGCTTGTGTATCTACTTATATGTCTGTGTACTATATGCAGGTGGTATCCTTGGAGGTCAGAAGAGAGTGTTAAATTCCTTGAGACTGGACTTAACAGATGGTTTGAGTCACCAGATGTTGGTATGGGGAAGTGAACTATGGTCTTTGGCAAGAGCAGCAAGGCCTTTTAAGCACTGAGCCATCTCTCTAGCCCCTGTAGTTAGGTTTATAAAAACTAATAGAAAAGGTAGCAAGCCATACCTTGATTAGTAATTTTAGAAAATAGTATTTTAGTAATTTAATTTAATTTAGTAATTACCAAAATTAATAGTATCTATTGCTGGAGAGACCATACAACATACATACTTATTCCCTTCTTAAAACAATATAGGCAGTGGAGAAATGGCTAGGTGGTTATGAACACTGGCTCTTGCAGAACACAAGGTATGGTTGCCAGCACCCATGATGGCATACAACCATCAGTAACTACAATTCTAAGGGATCCAATGGCCTTTTTTGAACTCCTTGGGCTCCAGGCATGCAAGTGGTACATATACATACATACAGGTAAAACACTTATACATATAAAATAAATAAACATAAAAAGTTAAAATAGTATCATTCAAGAATGAGGAGATTACATGTCAAAATATGTTGGAGACATTTGTATAAAGTTGGGAAACAGAAAGATTTCTAGAAGTTGAAATTTGGAAGCCACTTAGGAAATTGGTGTTGAGATAGAGCTTAAAAATGGGTAGATAAAATAGGGACGAGTAGACAAAAATACTCTATGTAATAGTTGTAGAGTGAAGATAAAGGAGAGGGGGGAAGAGGAAATACACACTGGAGGGCTGAGGGGTGCATACAATCCAGAGGTGTCATGAATCCTGCTGCACAGCATGGTAAAATTTGTGCAAGCTGATTACATGGATGTTCCATGGCACCTAAGTCAGAAGGAAAAGGTAATGACTAGTTACTAGCTTCAGTCCTGGGAAGATTTCCTGGAGGAACGGAAAGGCACAGGCACTTTCCTGGTCTGTGGTCCCAAGAATTCACTTCTAGAATCAGTGCATGGAAGGTGCTATTGTGTCAACTTCAGTGTTGCTCACACCCTAACCTAGGGCTGCTGTCAGCCATTGGGTTACAGACATCCCAGTTGCCTAGAGACCAAGGACGCATGCTGTGATCAGTAAAGGATTCCTCAAAGGACTCCATGGCAACCATGATGAACTGTCTTAGAAGTGCACTGTTCTTCCTTTTTCCCTTCACTTAGGGTCAGACCTTGTCTGCTCCCTCTTCCAGCCTGCAATCCTAATGTTTTCTCATGAACACAACCTTTAATAAATGTGTTATATGTCTAACCCCATTATAGGGCCTGCTTCTGTGCAAATACAGATTAATGAATTATGAAACTCTTTGGTGAGGCCCCAAGTCACTCCACCTGTTTTATGCTTACTCTCAATCCTAAAAGCAACTTCATTTCAATTTCTCTTTAGTCTTTGCTTAATGCCCATACAAAACCAGGTATTTCTTTAGTACAAAATTTTGGTTTTCCCAATAATTCACATAATGAAGGATTTTTTTTTGTCTAATGAATTTGACGAGTATGTCCTTTAGATATGTTAGCATTATAAAAACCTAGAAGAGATAACTTAATTATCTAGCATGTCTGACCCACTAAGACCTTTATTATAGTTCGTGTTTATGTGATTTGTTCGGTGAGAAAATACTATGGAAAATAAGAATTAAGCACAGTGGCCGGAGGGTTGCCTACCTTATTTGTATTGATGTTGATCCCAACAAGAAAAACAAGTTCAGCAAGAAAAAGGCTGCAACAGAGGTTCTTATGAATCGTGGTCCTGGTGCTTTGGATTTCACTGAAGAACCAGAAGGTGAAAATACATATGGCAAGGCAAACCAGTGAGATAATTATTCCAAGCTGAGTGATCCTTGTCAGGATATTATAATCTTTAATTCCCTAAGGGCAAATAATAACAGCATGTTAAGAGAAAGACTTAGTGACTTATCAAAGGGGCTACAATCCCTAATGAACTTCTCAGGGAAGCATTAATCAAAATGTTCATAAAATGTAAAAATAAAAATGTACATTTAGATGAGAAAAACTTGTACTTGGTGCCCAGAGAACTCTGATATAAATCATGTAGCAGGCTAACAGTACTATAATTAGTGATTTTTTTTCTCTAAGCATAGTATATATTAGTACATGCCTGAATAATGTTATCACCATCAGTTGCATGATGTTGGAAAGGTAATTCATCATTGTAATGGGAAAATGGTTAATTAAAGCAGATTTATCAGTGGTAAGTCCAAGGCTTATGTCTATGAGGTGATTCATCTAAAACACATTAAACAAAGGTAAAAGAGAAATGGGATATGTGGAAGACCAAAATAGTGTAGTTGAGACTGAAATGGAGATGAGTTGTTTATTTTTTACATAAAGAATAGAAGCTTTTCCCCCTTAATACACTGGAAAAAAATCACCATTATGATTGATACTACTTTAAACAATTGTATGCGATACTTAGTAAACTTCATGGATTGTAAGTACTAATGGAAGCAAATCAATGACAATGATGAAGAAACTTAGAATCAGCAACCTGATGAAGAATACAACACAGAGATACAGAGAAAGAAATTATATAATAATAATAATGCAGTCTAAGGAAATAATGAGAAAAATATGATTTACAAGGATGCTTATCTTACTTTTTTATGTTTGAAAATTTTTGTAGTTTTATGTTCTTAAAGATATAAGGGGTAAAAAGTGCTAAATTTTTATCAAGCATCAAAATGACCCCATTATAAAGGAAAAGGTCTCTAGATATCATGACACTAAAATGGGTGGATAGCTATTGAAACATCATGTAAATTCCAGGGACATGGAAAGATATTAGCTTTAACATGCAACCTAATAGATGTTATAGACTAGACAAGTCCTTGATAGGAAATAAACTAAAAATTATTATGCATATTTTAGAAGGGAAGAAAAGAAACAGACAAAACTAGACCAAAACAGATTTAAAGCCCAGGCTTTTCAATTACAGTAAGCATACAATTGGTCCCCAATAAAATATAAAAGTATCATTCTTTTGATGACACCAGGTAAGAAGAGAGAGAATGAGGACGATGAAGGATGGTGGGCAGCTTTGGGAACACAAAGTACAAACTTGGCTTACAATGGAGGTACTAGAAGACATCAAAATTGCAAAGTGTGTCAGGTGACTACAGCGGCATGAGGTGTGGGTGTCATTTGAGTACGTCCGTTCACAGCCCTCAGATGACCAGCTGCCGTTGTTCATGGCATCGGCTGAATAGTTCCAAAAGGCACAGCGTGTCCTGTACTTATCTGAGACCTGAAAAACAGACACTCCACTCATGAGACTAGACATCAGAACTGCTTTGGTTGTATTTAAAACATCACTGGTAGGATAGCATAATACTTAACATGTGAACACAGGACCAATGCTGACAAGTGACATCTGTTATTTTGTAGTGGATTTGAAATTTATATTGCAGCAATGCTACATTGTTTTTCAATTTTGTAGAGTTGTGATAATTTTTATTAAGTGAAATCATGTATATTTCAAATAGAAAGAGCATTACAGGTATTCATATCTGTCTTAATTCAGCAAATGCTTATTTTTTTAATGATTCATTTATTTTGCATTGTTCTTTTGCCTGTGTGTATGTCTGTGTAAGGGTGCCAGGTCCTCTGGAAGTTGAGTTACAGACACTTGTGAGCTGCCATGTGAGTTCTGGGAATTGAAGCTGAGTCCTTAGGGATAGCTGAGTCATCTCTCCAGCCCTCAAATGCTTATTTTTATCAAACAATTGTCAGTTATACGTTAAAAAGATAATGTTGACCAAAACAATGTGTTTACTGTTGATTTTACATTCTACTTGTAAATAAAAAATTATGAAGTGAGAAAAGCAAAGGAGAAAGAAGAAAATGGAATAGAAAGTAGTCAAAGACTTTTCCTAGGAGATGATGTCTTGTCATGCAGATACATCATTTTTTTGTGTGTGTGTGTGTGTATGAGAGAGAGAGAGAGAGAGAGAGAGAGAGAGAGAGAGAGAGAGAGAGAGAGAATGCCTCAGTACCCACCTTCTGTCATGTGCATGTGGTTCTGAAGGATTAATTCAGGTTGTCAGGCTTTGCTCACTGAACCATTTCACAAGCTCTTAAATACATCTTTAAAGATATGGGCTTGGAAATTGCCAAAATTAATAATATACTTAAAGTAAAACTAGGAGATAGCTTAATTTTAGGACATTAAACATATGACTAATTGGCATTGACAAGAAGCTTTGGGAAGAACTAGAAATGCAAAATATTTTATAGAAAAACTAATGAGTATTGGTGTTGGAGTTCATTGGCAGAGGGCAAACACAGAACAGAAGGACTTGGGTTCTAATCCTATCACTGAAAACGAAGGATCAAAACTATATTACCTTTTTTTGTTTGATTTCCAATATACTTTCTCTCTAAAATTTACATATAATTTAAGTAATGCCACCCAAACATATTCCAGTTCACTGAATACATAACAATTGTAACTATCGTTAGACAACTTACCTTTACATGACTTAGTGTAAATGTAATTTTTTCAAGTTCATACAGTGTGGGTGGATTTGAGCTAATTGAGGCAGAAATCACTGAAGAAACGACTTTTTCCTTTTCTTCAGGATTATCATTATTCTGAGGGTCCAGTAAGAAGTCATCAGATGGGGAAAGCAAGGGGCCGATGCTCTTATAGCACAAGAATGCAATGGCAACGCTGCCTGTCAATCACAGAAATGTAGTCAGCGGACACATAAACTGAAAGAGTATTGAAGTTCTTAAGCACACAAACTGAGCGGACAAAAGTTAGACTCCACAGAAACCATGAAAACTCGATTGGAACATGAAGTACACTATCTCATGTGCATCATCATATTACATTCGTGTCTTACATTCTTTTCCTCTGTGAACTATTTTGGCATCACCTTTTCACAAACTTTGGTATTCCTGTATAAACTGAGAGCCTGATCCTGACAGAGAACCAGATTTTGAGATATATTCACCCCTAAAGAAGTGAGCTTTAATTCATGTGCAGATGAATTGGACTACAGAGGACTGAGAACTGATTAAGCTGTGACATGCCACTGAGGTCAGCCTTGTAATTACTGTACTGCTCCCTCCTAATCCTGAAAACATTCAGTTCTGTGGAGTCAGAGGATCCCTGTTTTACCTTAGTCCTGTTGACGTGTAGTATCAGAATACAACCCATTGCTGCAGAATCACAAATACATATATTGATATTATATTCAGAAAGTACTGTGGTAACAAAACTGGGCTCCTCCAAACCACGCTGAAAAGTCACATTCCTTCCATATAATCATGTGAGTTAGAACTTCCAAATTACATTCTTGTTCATTTTAATTGATACAATGCCTTATCTAACCTAGATACATCACATGATCTTTCATTGACCTACTAGCTAGCTTGAAAGACATCTACCCATAAAACATATAGATATTAATTTATGTGGTGATTAAACTTGCTGGTCAACACCTGTGGAAGAGGGAACCTCAACTGAAGAACTGCTTCAATTAGACTGACCCATGACCCTGTCTCTGAGGAATTGTCTTGAATGCTAATTAATGCAGATGGGCCAAGCCATGGTGGCCAGTGCTGTCACTGGTAAGGTATGTCTGGGCTGTGTGAGGAAGGCAGGCTGAGGAGCAGCCAATAGTTCCTCCACAGTTTCTGTTTAGTTCCAGCCACCAGGTTCTCCCTTGGCTTCTCTTCATGGTGGACTGTGACCTGGAAGTCAAAAAAACTCTTTCCTTGCCCCAGTTTCTTTTGGCCAGTGTTACAGAACTATAACTAGAACAGTCTGATGTATTTGGGCTAGTGATATCAAGACTCTTAGAAATGACCATGATGCTAATGTTTTCTGTGGATTGGTCAGAGCTTGGAGGAAGAACTGTAACTACAGGAAGCATCAAGTCCACTTAGAGGGATGGTTACTTCTTAGGAGTCATAGTAAGAAGTGGTCCCAATTCAAATGAAAAGTTGGTTTAAAAAAGTATCTTTAAATTATTTTATCAATTACTGATATCTAAAATGATACTTTTTAAGTATCAAATTGTGATTTTGGATAAGGGGTGTCATAGAAATCCCTCAAATCCCCATAGTATTTCCTTAGTGGACATTCTTTCAGAATTTTTCCCTTTCCAGTTCTGATGATTCCTTGCTAACTTTATGAATAATTGACCTTTGAGCTTCCTTACAAGATGTTGGTTTGAGTGTGAACTGTTCCCTAATCAGTTGTGTTTTGAATGCTTGGTCTCTAGCTGGTAGGGATATCTTGAAGGCTAGAGAGCTTTTAGTAGATACTGTCTGCCTTGGAAGAGGGAGCTCACTAGGCCTGAAAGGTTGCTCTTACTTCCATTTCCATCATGCCTTCTCTACTTCTTGGTCTTTGGGATTATGAAATTTTCCATCCCTCCACTTCCCTCTGCCATGTACTCCTCCATGCCTTCCCCACCATGGTGGACAGACTTAGCATGGACCCTCCCAAATTGTGAGCCAAATAAATCTTTCCTCTTCGAAGTTTCCCTACCAGATAGTCTGTAACTAACACAAAAAGTCTGTACTTTCTACTAAATAATAAGGCTCTCACCAACAAAAGAAATTGCAAATGTAGACTATTTGAGAAGAGTACATCATTTCATACTGAATTCCATCGGCTTTTTTTTTTTTTTTTTTGCTTGTGATGTTTATGCTTTTTTCTGTCCTGTACTTTCTATATTCTGTTAGCATTAGCATATCTTTTTTTTCTAAGAATAAAAATCACCCTTTCATTCAATGTCTAGAACAAATGTTTATTTATTTAGTGCAAATGACTGTGTTAAAGTTCTGGAGACATTTAGTAGCTATTTTCCCTTAGATTCATTTGTTTTGTTTCTTTCTTTGTTTACTGTTGGAATGCTACCAGTCAATTCTTCCCCAGCAATGCAATAGTGCTTTGCAACCTAGACTGCTGGAAAACCATCAGGGCGAAAAAGTTAAGAATTCCCTTTAAAATTCAAGAGTAAATTTTTCAAGAGTAACTTCTTAGAGACTATTGTTCCCAAAAGTGTCATGCTCTTTTTTTTTTTTTTGAGTATGCTAAATGATCTTCTCAGCAGGACATTCTTCAGTGGTCTGTTTGGGCATCTGATTATTGTCCCAATTTCACAAATACTTAAAAGAAAATATGTAGAATTCCTTAGCAGAAGTCTGTTATGTTTTTATTGTAAAGCCACGGTTCAGATCACTGCATTTTGTTTTGTCACCCCACCCCATCACACTTCTAAATTCAGCTCACAAAATAATATCAAACCCATCTGTACCTCTTGATCCCTCTGCATTCCTATCAATGGCACCGTGTGTCTTTTCTAATGAAGTTTACAAGAAAAATCTCATGCAGACATTGTTGGAAGGCGAGATAAGTTTGCACATTTGCCCTTTCCTTTAAGATTCAACCTTGAGGAAAAGACATTTTTTTCATTCTGCCTTATTGAGATGTGGTATTATCATCTCTTTCAACTGTCCATTTATGTGTGCCATCATTAAGCATAACAAAGCTACCATACAATCAGTCAGCATGGCTCTGAGATTTTAATTCTGTGACAATTTCAACATTTGTCACCATAATAGGTATTTTCAATGTGCTTTCCACAACTTCTAAACACTATTCAAATTGTCTTTGAATTTCAACTGTTTACCAGGTTCTGTGAATATGTTCATAAATATTATATGTATGCTTCATTGATTGCAGTATGGCTTAGTAGCATATGAACTAAGGGTTCAGTGGTAATACATCTTGGTTATTTGTTTTGTAACCATATGTTTCTCACTTTGATCAGAAAATAAATAATGGTGAGGACAAAGAATAGAGAAAAAAAAACTTCCTAAGCAATGGAAAACAAAATGAAATGAAGCAAAACTGACAAGATATCAGGAGGTTAGTTTGTAAGATGGTCATGAAAAAGAAATTCTAACTGCGTATAAAGCAGTTTCTAGGTGTATTTACTGTACTTTTCATCTACATTTATGGTTATCCACATACTCTTTGAAAAAAGGTTCCAATTCATGTTCACCCTCAATACTATGCTTTTACCTATCAGCGAACAATGACAGCAGGAGTTATGCTACAGTAGGGAGAATTTTCTGTGCACATTACTCCAAGAGGAGATAAATATAAATTAAAACAGTAACTACCTGCTTGGCTCCAGTTAGGTGACAAGGAAAAGCTTGTTGAATTGATTTCTTTATTAACTTCTTCCTTTCTAGGATTGCTCTAAACTATTTGCTGATAAACATGAAGACAAATCCATTAACTTTGCACCTTAGTTCCATTATCTACCAAATGAGATTGTTAAATTAGATAACCACTAAACTGCTTGCTACTAGAATTCTGTCTTAATTTTTTTTAAAGTTTTATTTGACTTAGAGTTTACTATACAAAAGCCAAAGGATGACGAATCCAAAGGAAAGTTGAAGTCTGTGCAATAACTGAGCACTTTAAAAAGCATATCCTTTCATGTAACCACAAATTTGTTTTCATGATGGAGAATCAAGATACTATTGGTTAAAATTTTTCTCAGATAGTCTTGCCAAAATGAATCTCAAATATAAACATGGATATTCTGTATGTGAACTTAAAGTATTTCCATAGGAAATTATATGTATATCTATGACATAGCCAAGTGCATATTAATATTTATTAGAAATACATGAATATGCATAAGATGCTAAAGTCCTACCAGTTGAGTCATATGAAGTTTTTCTCTTTGGGAATATCTTTACATAGCCTCTGTCCACATTCATATGGGGATGAGCATACTTCACATGATTTGAATCAAAAACAAAAACCTTGAGAGCTGAAATAAGATAGTGGGAATAAGAAATATTCTAAAATTAGTTTAACCAATGTAATTTTTAAGTTTAGAGACAATTGAAACAAATACCATTTCATTTAGGCTTTTGGCAGTACAGTGCAAAGCCAAAAAGCTGAGAACACCAGGGAATTTTGTTTTCTTTTTCTTTTCACTCACCATTGCATTCATGGTTTTATCTTTACTGAGTTGAAATAAAAACTAAAATCTCTACACATGCAAAAGCATCCATGCACTATTACTAAAGCAGTAAGGACTACAGTGTCTTATAAGTCTGTCTAACATACAGCCTATAGGCTACATTCACCCAAGAAAGCTATGAATATGGCATCACATGAAATACTAAATTTAGTTAAAACCTTATGATTCTTTGAGACTGTTTCTCTAACTCAATTGCTTGTTTCTCAAGTGTGAACTTTGTAGATGACAATGTCCTGCCTCAATGTCAAAATGTTGGATGTGCCTGTTAGACTATCTGTAATGCAAATATAACTTACTATCTAAAGATTGAGAGAATTAAAATTTTAAGTAATAATTCCCTTTTGGGGTACATTAGCATTTCTTTTATGCAGAGACATAGAAATATAGTGTGCCTACATTTCAATCTCATCATTTTCACTCTTAATTTGGGTAACTGGTGAATATCAATGAGACAATCATTCTGTCACTATACTACCGCATGGCAGGATATTAGTCAGAGATGCAATATAAACACATATAATGATTACTTAATTAAACATACTTAGTTTCTTCAGGACAATTTTATATCCATCCTCAACTTTATCTATAATTTTGTTTTTTGTTTTTCCCAGGAAACTGCATGAAGCAGGAAACCGTACCTCATTATTGTAATGGCCTCATGTTACCACAAGGCTAAGCATTCCTAAAGAGAAATTTAAATATATCTATAATTTCTGATGTAAATATTATAGGTTAAATTCAGGAGACCACTGAGTGTATAAGATAAGGTAGTGATGTCTTCTGCAAACTTTTATGCTACACAGTTTATAAATAGAAAAAAAGAAGGCAATATAAGATAGGAGGAACATCTATATAGTCAATCTTTCTACTAGCATGCTTCTTCATTCATATTGCTCTGGTAATATGAACCAACATTCATTTCTGCATTGACAAAACTATGTATAATTTAGTATTATACATAGTTTATAATACTAATATTATAGTAATTGTTAATTACTATATTAATTACATAGTAATATTTCAAGAACCACATCTTACTGTCTTACTTGGTAAACGCTGTTGCTTTGAAGCAAACCATTTACCTTCACACCTTACCCACATCAGTAGAATTCGTATCAAACTGAGTAGTCTTTTGGAAGTTCTGAGATATTCTTAAGGTGATATGCTCAACAGTGTGCATCAGTTTTGTGAGATGAAGTCGTCTATGATTTGTAGGTAATTGGTCCCAAATTTTAAGTGTATTCTTTTGAACAAAATTATTGATGGTTTTTACAAATTCCTATTTAAGGAAAAACATGTTTTTAAAAATACTGTTATATCACACTGAACAGAAATATAGGAAACAATTTAAAGATCAACTACACTATGGATTAAATATCAACATACTTACAGTAAGGGTTGAATTGAAACGGTCATCCTTGGATGAAGTGGTGCTGTTCACATAGTCAGGTAGTGGGGATAATTTAGCAAGTACCTCTATGTATGTGACTATATCTATTGGTGAGAGATCGCCCTCAGAATTTCTGTAAATTTCTTGTAGTAAAGCCATCTTCTCCTTTATGGGTTCAATCTGAGAAAAAAAATGAGTTCAGAAAAAGAGAATCAGATTTCTATTGGAGGATTTTAAGAAGAAGATTTATGGGGTGGGGAATATGGTTTATTGAGAAAAACACTTGGCATGTAAGTTTGAGGACCAACCTTCAGATATACAGACTCTTTGTAAATATATTGTGTATGGCAGCCCGCCTGTAATCAATGCTTTGGAAGTGGAGACAGAGGATCCCTGGGTCAAGCCTGTGAGCTCTGGGAGAGAGGGAGGGGGAGGGGAGGGGGAGGGAGGAGAGAAAGGGGAGGGGAGGGGAGGGGGAAGGGGAGGGAGAGCGGAAGCGGGAGTGGGAGCAGGAGCAGTAGTGATCCTATCTCAATAACTAAGGTGAAAAGTGATTGGGGAGGTCATCCAACATCAGCTTCTGGCCATCACCTGCACATGGCAGCCATATATATAAACACATGTACATTTATGTCCACCAGACACAAGTCCACTTGCAATAAAATGCAGAATAAGACATATTTCAAATTTGCCCAGAGGTTGATTTTCTTGTGTTATTTGGATAATAAATTATCAGATTAGCCTGAAATCATTACAAGTAGCAATGAAAACAGAATTTATTTAGAAAGGATTCACAAGCAACTGGGAATGCTTTAGTATACTTCAGAAACACAGAGAACATGTTTGAATGAATAAATAAATAAAAAAAAACTTCCTTTTCTCCAGTATAGAATTATATACTAGCCAGTGAGGCTATCTCAATATTTAAATTCATTAGTTTGTATAAATTTTGATATCATAAGTCAGAAATTTTGACTCAATAACCTGAAACAGATTGTTTTTCAGCAAAGCATTTCTCATATGTGATGAAATGGAAAAATGCCTTGGCTGAAAGTTCACTCCTCGTAGTTTGATTCACCCATTCAATCACATAACAATTTTATGAATGTCCTACTTTATTTGCTCTTTGAAGTGTTCACTTTGAAGTACAAAATCTAGTTGCATTTAACTACGTCTCCTTAGAATGTGGGACTGGGTTTGAGCCAATGTGTGTTTTTACCATTTTACTCAATAACTTCCTTTCATGTTGAAAATAATTTTCCAATACACCAAATAATGAAAAATAACACAAATTAAACAGGATAAAGTCTTGCACAATGCTCTGGAAAGTTTCAAATTAGTCCTATATGCAATGTAAATAATACTTACATGGCTGTATGCAAAGAGTTTCACTTCTACATGAGGTTCAGCTGCTAATGTTTTCCAATAGAACCTTGGTAGCACTTCTGAGATCAAAATGTCAAAATAAAATATACGTTAACCTAGAGTGTCTACTTACTCTTTTTAAGGTTTTGTTAACATTTGCAGCAATGCAGGCAGGCTCCAAGTGGCAATTTGAACTCACGCTTTCTGTAGAAAAAGAAAACATTCCATAGTGAGTCTACAAACCATTTTTTTTCTAAGTTGATGGTGTTGACTTGAATAATTTTGTGTGCTTAAACATTAAAGTGCATTCTTTAACATTTGAGATTCCATTTTAGTTCCAGAATATATAATGTATGACAGAAAATGGAAGAAAGTAGTTCAAGGGAGAGGGAATGAATGTGAACTACATTAAACACGCTGCTTCCATTTCCTACTAAGTGAAACAATACACCTTTCTTAATTTATTTTGTCAATCTTAGTGAATCCTGGCACAGATCTTAGAAATGTAGCTCTTTGATACTTCACAAATGTGTGGTAAATATTTTATATAGTTTAAGGTTGAAGGCGATAAATCACCTTGGCAGGAAGAGCCATCGTTAGGCGTGAACTGCGACTTCCCGGTGGAGGTCTGGTAACCTTCCCTGCAGAAGCAGTTAAATCCTCCGTTCACATTTTCACATACAGCATGATCACCGCAGACAGCCGACTCACTGCACTCATCTATATCTGCAAATTTTTCAAAAAGTAATTTCTTAAATTACTGTTCTTTTACTTTCTTGTTTCCTGATAACAATATTACATATGGTTAGTGATTTCATATCAACTGATGCAAGAAAGCAGGGGAAATCCCATCATTTGGGAAAAGAGAGAACAAACTCAGATGCATGTATTTCTTAACTCTAATTTGGCCAATCCATTTTGACAGAGTATTGAAAATGTTATTCATGGGCCACACTCTCAAATTGTTTTCTGAGTAGCATGATTCATCAACAAAGTCAGTAAATCTATTCCCATCATCTAAGATGTAACAGTTAGTCCTAATTTAATAAAGACTCATTTTTCAAAGTGCACTTAAAATTATTTGCCTGCTAGTCTTAGGCTAAACTGATGATAACTCAGTTTAAAGCAATCTGGAGGATAAAGATGGACTCACTTTCTCTTTAAAGCCTCATTTCTGCATGTGACTTAACTGAAAACTAAGGTCCAGCACATTATGTTACTCAACTCTCTTAAGATTTATCACGATTGATTACTTTTGTTCATATTACATTTGGACCATGATTCTAATATGCAATCATCATAGTTGAGTATGGATGAAAAAATAAATTGCACAGAATTAAGTCTGAGGTTCTCAGTAGCTATATATTGACACTGTAATAAAGGTGCTGGGTTTTTAGGTTCACATCATTTATATTCTTAATTTAAAATTTTACACACTGCAGTGAAATGTGCCTTAAAGTTATAAATACAATTTAAATATGCTGCCAGGTTGGGGAATGATTCCAAGGAACTGAATAGTCCAGATCATTACCTTAAACTAATGCAAAGATTTTTTTGTGTGTGTGCTGAGCCCAGTTCTGGCATCTTAGAAACACTTTCTATTAGATTAATGAATGAACCTGCAATTTTAATTTACAATTTGATTATTAAAATAACAAGATGGCATGTTACCATTTACCATTATAAAAAGGAAGGGAGCTATTAAAGTCTAATTTAAAATGTCATCAGGCTGTTGTCTTAAATTCAGCTGTTTCCAGTTTTTCATTTAAAAATGCAGTGAATGCACAGGAAAACATGTGACTCAAGCCACAGAAAAGAAAGTCAGCACAGAGCCCTTTGTCAGGTTCCTAATGAACTTTACATTAGCTAGAAAGGTGATGATACTAGATTATAAAGGACATTGTCAGAGTGAAAGGCTAGAAACCCCTGTGCTGATGAGCTCTACCTACCTATGATGTGTATTACCTAGAAAGCTGGGTATACAGTCTATAAAGGAGCACCCTTCTTGCTTATTTTAATTTGTATATATGTTCAAAAACTATCATCCAACCCAATGAACGCTTACTAACTAAAACAGGAAAAGCTATAGGATGTTGACTCTTGTATGGAAGAACCATCCACCCACCCTTTCTAAGCTGAGTAGAAAGTGGAAAGAATGAGGCCTGGGTGCAGGCAAAGTCAATAAAGTGCAGAATGTGGGGTACAAGCCCAAGAGCCTTTCACTCTTGTGTTGACACAGGGTTCTTGCTCACAGTGCTGGTCGGGAGCTCACTATGCAGCCCTTGAATTCATGGCACTCTGACAGTCTTCTAAGTCCAGTGATTGCTGCCTGCCAGTCACCAAAGAGCCCTCCTCTCCCAGGGCTGTTTTAGAAACACAGGTTGCACTCCAATGGGAAAACAGCCCAAAGAAGACTGTGTGCAGACCCATTAAGTATCACAAATGGAATTACGTAGACAAGTTGCTAAGCAGTCTTATTAATAAAAACAAACAAACAAACAAACCACAGAGCCAGAAATTGGGGCTAAACCTGAGAGATCAGAGACATAGGACAAGCCACAAGCCAACCTCATCTCACCAATCCTTTGCTTCCAAAGAGACCTACTTCCTGTATACCCACACATATTTTTCTTTCAGTTCTGCTAACTCATTTCTTCTCCACTCAGGTACATCACTTCCTCTTCCAGTCCAGGTCTGTCACTTCCTGTCTGTCTGTGCAGACCTCCAGACCTTTATGGTTAGTGCTGGGATTTAAGACATGTGCCACCATGCCTAGCTCTGTTCCCAGTGTGGCCTTAAACTCACAGAGATCCAGACAGATCCCTGCCTCCTGAGTGATAGGATTAAAGGCATGTGCTACCATTGCCTGACTTCTATGTTTAATATAATATGGCTTTTTTCCTATGATCCTCAGATAAATTTTATTGGGGGACACAGATAAAATATCACCAAAGAATTATTTCATGGGTGGGGCAGTTAAGACATTCTTTGTATATCCCTATTTTGTCATGTCAGAGGCTTGTATGAATTGATTTCTTAAATGTGTAACATTATCATGAATTCTATGTAACACCATATGAGCAATATTTTAAAAAATTCCTCTGTAAAAACCACTTTCTCTATAGTCTGCACAATGGGTTTAAACACACTTGGTGATTATACCTTACTATTACATTTTTCCCCCGTGTCTCTTCTATGTTGGTTTGGTTCTACGTTGGTTTGGGTTTCTCTCTTTTAAAAAAAAAATCCATTCTTTGGATATACATTTATATTCTATACCTTGATCATGTCCACTCCACTCCACTTCTCACTGAGACTCTCCTCTGTCACATTTCTCTCCCAACTCTGTCTTCTCTCCTCTCTTTCTCCCTCTCCTTTTCCTGCTTCTTTTTACATGTTTTATCCCACTGAATCCAATTAGTGCTGCTATATCTGTATGGGTGTGGGCCATCCACTGGCCTTGAGGAAGCTACCTGGGGCCAAACTCCTAAAGAAAAGTTACTCTTCCTCATCCAGTAACCACGAACTACCAATATCTCCTCAGACAGGGGCCAAGTCTCTGGAGGCCCTCCCCAATTCATGGTGGAATTTTAAACTGGTTTAATCTTGCAGGGATCTTATGAAGGTCACCACAGCTGCTGTGAGTTGGTGTGGGCAATAGCTGTATCATGTCCCGAGGGCAGCATTTCACAGTGCTACAGTTCATCCTTTGATGCTTTCATGCATGCCCAGCATACCCTGATCACTCATCCTCTCATCTCCGGATTCCACTATGTAATCTCTTCCCCCAAACAAGTCTTTTTTTTCTTGATTTTGTTTTGTGACTTTGGCTTGTTTAACCTTGGGAATGTAGTTCATTGATACTTCACAAATGTGTAGTAAGTATTTTCATATAGTTTAATATTGATATATATATATATATATATATATATATATATATCACCTTGGCAATTAAAGCCATCATTAGGCATGAACTGCATCTTTCCTGTGGAGGTCTGGTAATCTTCCCCACAGAAGGAGTTAAATCGTTCCTTCACATTTTCCCATAAAGGGTGATTATCACAGATAGAAAACTCACTTGCACTCATCTATATCTGCAAATATTTCAAAAAGTATCTTCTTAAATTAATGTTCTTTTACTTGCTTCCAGATAACATTATTATATATGGTTAGTGATTTCATATGAAGTGATACAAGAAAGAAGAATGTTGTTGTTGGATTTTTTTCTCTTTTGGGGGGCCCACTACCACCCAACTCCCAAATTAATCACACACAGAGGCTTATTCTTAATTATGAATGCCTAGCTTTAGCTTGACATATTTCTTGCCAGCTTTCCTAACTTAAATTATCCAGGCTACCTTTTACCTCTAGGCTTCTCCAGTTCTCTGACTTCTGTAACTCTTACTCTTACTCCACGACTTGCCGTGTAGCTGAGTGGCTGGCTCTTGGCAGCTTCCTCCTTCTCTGGCTACTTCTAGATCCCCCCTTTCCCAGATTTCTCCTTTTATATATTCTATCTGCCTGCTGGCCCCACCTCTCCTTTCTCCTGCCTTGCCATTGGCCATTTAGTTCTTTATTAGACCATCATGTATTTTAGATAGACAAAATAACACAGCTTCACAGAGTTAAACAATTGCAACATAAACAAAAGTAACACACCTTAAAATAATATTTCTCAACAGAAGAGAGCTATCCCTTGGAGCTCACTGAGAAGCAACTCCCCAGTCACTACACCCATGAGTACAATGACTCCCCTTCCCTCAATAGCCTTCAGAAGCAGTAGCTTCCTGAGGAGGGGCTGGAGCCCACGAGCATTCCCTCTGTTCATAGCTGAATGTTGATGAGTCTGGTCTTATGCAGCCTCTAAGCAGGAAACCAAGCTTATCTGAGTTCATGAGTGTCATGGCCACTAGGGTCCTTGCTCTACTTGATGGCTTCCTACTGCTGTTCCCTCAGATGGTGGCCATCCCATCATCATGGACCAAATAAGGCATTTCAGCTTCTGAATTTATTCAATGGCAATGTGATGATCTAATAATGGTAAGAATGGTGGTAGTGTTTTGGGATGCTAGTGTTCAAGATTAAGCTCAAACAAAGTTTTTATATTTAACATCTACTTTTTTTTATAAATAATGTCAATTATCCTAATTGCTAATGCTTCTTAAACTTTAGTCTGATCTTTACATTCACTTCTATGTCATGTAGAGAGGACATTAGCTAGTAGCAGACATTCTGTTCCTATGGCTCTTACAATCACACACAAATGGTTGCACACACACATAATGTGTAACATACATATAAACGCAATCATATATATACAATTTTCACTAAGAATGAGGAGGCCATGAATTTTAGTGGGAGTCAGGGTGGTGATGCAAGAAGACTTGGGATGGGACTGAGGGAGAAGTGTATTTTCCTGAATTTGATATTGTTGCTCTGGGCTTTCCTGGTAGAAGTGCTCGAGTTTAACCCAGTAATGGTAGGTGATAGTCCAAATGGATTGTCTGAGCATTCAGAAGTACTTCCTTTGTCTTTGGGACATCACTCTGTGTCCCTCTTTTACCTGATAGTTTTTATCTATTTATTGTAGCAAGGTCTATGCTAATGTTGCCTGCACTCTCTTATGAGGCCCAAATGTCTTAAACCTACTACATCTACACTGTTTCTGTTTTCCTACAGTTATACTCATGGGGATGGCTGGGTTTATATCCTAACCCGCTAACACT